GTAAATTTTTAAATGCATCCATACTTCGTTTGATATCAGCATTACTTATAGCCATTATAATATTTAATGCACATATTAAATCAAAAGTTCGTTCATAAAAATAATATGGAAAACCCTGGCTCGATAATAATTCTAAATACAAATCTAAAAATGATTCACTAGCATATGTAAGTGAACCTATTATTTCTATGCTGCCCCCTTGTTATCCATATTAAATGCAAATGCAAAACCGAAATCAATTAATTTTATAGGATTACTATCACGATGAATAACACGACAATCATATAAATAATGAATTATATCAATAAGTTGTTTCGATTGTATCAATGATAATGATTCTATACATTGTAAATCTTTTTCATAGAATAAATATTTATCTGAATACAAACAATAAAAAATTTAGAAATAGTATAAAATATTATTTCAATCATAGATAAATTGAGATGTAGTCTTGTACCAAAACAAATCACTTACGTAAAATATTCTTTTTATTAATTATTTCATCTAAACTACGAACGAATTGTATAGATAGCTGTTTAATTACAATCTTAGATATGAATGGAAGTTAAAGTCTTGAAAATTACTCTAAGACATTTAGTTTTCTTTTATCCATAAGGGTTTTGCTTTGTGTTATCTATCTCGTTTTTCAAACAAGTTTTTAAATCTTTAAACTGATCAATGTAACGTTAATATTTTACAAAAATAATTGGACGAAAATTTTACTAATTTAATTTAATTTAATTCTAATTCATTTAATCAAAAAGTATTGTTTTGATTAGAAAGATAAACAGGTCATTTAAAAATTCAGCTTTTACGATGAGTTTCGTTAATATATAATACATCTTTTTCTTGCAAACCTCTACTTCTATCTATTTATCCTCTCTTTTCTTACATGGACATGAAAGATTAGAAATATATGGATAAAGATTTGAGCATATATACTTACGTACATACATTATTCCTATATCCCCCTATTGTAACTCTCATACTTATCGTCTTAATTCGTGTGCGTTACATCTATACCTTTAGTCATATAGCTTTATATCTATCATATTACGTCTATGCGCTACACACTTGTCCTATTGATATATATCAATATTCTTATCCTTTAATTAATCAGTGAAAAATCATATAGATTTTTGTAAAGGTTTTTCTTGATAAAAATATTCGGCATTTTTATTTTTAAGCTTAATAATAAGAAATCATACGAAAAGAAAAAGAGACGGTGATAAAAATAAAATTCAAGTTGTTATTTACATCACTCCTGAAGGATGTTTGATGAAAATGAAAGAACTACGATCGTTCGGAGCATCTTTTTGTTTTTGAATAAATATTATTCATTGGAGCTACCAAAGAGAAAAAGACAAACATTAAGCAAAACCGATTCAATTAAATTTCTATTGACATATCAATTTATCTATAGCTTCTAAAGAAAATAACTAAGGTCATGTATTTCAATCAAACTAAATTTATTTATATTTGTATTTTTTCTTACACAACTATTCCTTTATTTCTCAATATTAAAATAGATTCTACTGCATATCACTCATAAAATTCATTTCTACAACAAGATCTATTTAAATAGTATAATTTTGAATCTAATACTTGAAAATGTTAGCAGAGTTTATTTCCTACAGCTGTATTTTTACTCGAAATATTTCACGAAAAACAAAAGACTACTGCTCATGAACGTGTTTACACAATAGTTTTAGATGATGTTTTAAACTAAAACCAACATACCGTCGATAAAGTAACGTTATTAAACGCATTATAAATAAATACCGATGCATTTGAACATGTTGAAACTAAAAACTAACGCGTTTAACCACAAAAATTCCATGTTTTTCTGTGAAAACTGACTTTGAAGTACTAATTCTTATAATCTGTTGTTCTTGAGTAGTAATAACATATTTTATCGAGCTTTCACTTACCTTCTAAGGATAAAAACAAAAAAAAATGACCTCTTTTTTTTCACTAATCTTATTTGAAATGATGATTCTTTTGTTTCTTTTTTTTTTTACAACAAATATTTTATTACTCATCATTATCCTTGTTTAAGATGTTGCTTCAATCTATATGTATTTTCATCAAAGACAAAACCTTATAGTTTTATGCTGAAATGACAACATCAAACATAGTCTGATGATTTTATATCTTAAAATTCTATACATATATGTAGCATGAAAATAAACTTGCATAATTATTCTTGTTTGTCCTGTTTTATATACTTTAAAAATATCTAAAAACCAACAGTAACTCTTAGATTCAATCGATTGTATTATCCAGATATTTCTCTTCTTACACCAGTCGACATTTTTATGTCTATTCTGTCCGGATTCTTGTTTTTTCTTGATCGATTAGGCAAGATTCTGATTAATTCTGAATGCTGGACAAGATTCTTTTAACAGGAAAGGAAAAAAGATTCAAGAACATCATCTAGTGTACTCTTTTAATATTTCACGAAGAGTAAAAAAGCATTCGTTTCATTTGAAGTATCTTTTATAAGTCGCCGCATTCAGATAAATTACATTGAAGATTATAGATTGAACAGTTTCACTATTTCATAAAGTCTTCTGTGGGTGTTGGTGTGAAGGTGGTTGTTGATGTATGGATGTGAGTGAGCGTGTTCTCTACCCTGAAAGCTATAGCCACGTCCATACACACACCCATACCCACACCCTCTCTTCTTTTCTTCTTTTGTTTGGTGATAACAACTAACTGTCACTTTAATTAAGCGAACAGGTTTCATTAAGCATGCTGCTCTTCAGTATAATTTGTTTGCGCATTTTCTTCTTGATTGGATTTTGGCTTGTCACTGTAAATAAGTAATTTACACATAATATGAAAGAGAAAAACAGATGCATGTTTTTTCTTTCATATTATGCATAAATTACTTGTTTATAGTGATAAAAAATATCCAATCAAGAAAGAAATGCGCAAACGAAATCAAATTGGAGAGCCGTGTGCTTAATGAAACCTGTTCGCTTAATTAAAGTGACAGTTGGTTGCTATCAGAAAGACAGAAAAAAAAGAAAGGCCGAAAAAAATATGAAAAAAAGTAGATATTGATCATAATTTACAGTACGAATTAATCTAATAAGCATACCATATTCGATCAGCGTTCGAAATGTAAGTGCGTTTTCGTTGTATTTAAAATATGAACACTGATATATTTTAATTCTAATTATTTCTGGTATATTATCAGAGAGCTTCTAAATAGTATATTTGAAAAGATAAAGCAATTATTATAAGTATAACTAATTGGATAATTGATAATCAAGGTCACACAAGTTTTTATTTTTAAAAATAATATCTTCTACGATTTATTGAAGATGATTATAGTGAAGAAATTTTTATGACGAAATCCGATTGTTACGATGCACAAAATATTCATTGATTATTTTTTTTTTTAGTGATGGTAGATTTTTTTATAGTGATCTATAGTTTTATAGTATCGCTAAGCTCGTAGAATCGATTGATAATTCCGAATAGTCTGTATGAGATACAGAGATCAACTCATTTTCATTTATAAGATAAATATTTTGTTGTAGATTGAAATACAAAAAGTTTTATGAGTGAATTAGATGATACACTTTTCCTATCGTAACATGCATTTGATAGTGATCAATTATGAGAAATGAAACCATTAGGTTTATGGTTATCTTCGATGTAAATGTTCATGAAACTACACCATCACTTTACTATTCATACGAATCTATTTGAGTAGTCCATAAATGCGCTCCCTAGTGAAATATCTTGTAAGCAAGATCTTGGTCAAGTTACCAGGTACAGGAAAGTGAACAGATCTTGAAAATTGAGATACAAGATAATACAACAATATCTTGTACGAAGAACTTTTATTAGATCTTCTGTACAGTATATATGTTTCAAAAGCTGATATCGTAATTCATGCTGAAATACTTGTAAAGACTTTTCAAGCAGTCTATCGCATGTAAAATTTCATACTGATTTTGCATTTGTAATTAGAATTTAATTAAAATCACGGTGAAATATAATAGACTCTTATTTTTTATTCGAAAATCTTCCGAAATCGTTAACTTCTGGACTAACACCGAATAAAAATTTTGTTTCCTGAGCTATTTCAGCATAGTGTAGTTCTAGAAAGTGTAAAATTAATCTCTAACAACAATTAAGAGCTGAAGATCTTGTTGCAAGATATTCATAATATTTTGAAACGATTTTTTTAAAGATCTGCTAGAACTTAGTTCATTGAACTGGTAGTGGATGAAAGTAGACAAAATTCTTCGAAACAAATTTGTTTTTTTTCTAAAATGAAGCATGAAAGCTGTATAAATTGTTTCTGTTAACATGACGCTATTACTACATTAATCCATTAAGATCAATTAGAGTTTATATAATCAAGCGGTTTCAATTGTGTTTAGATGATTCGTTTTTCGAAGATCGATGTTAATAAGATTGGTAACCTTGTATTACATGGGCTACTATTAATACAACTTCAGTTTTAGGAAAATTTTTAGCATTACTGCGGCATCAAAGTTAAGACTTGTGAGAATATATCATTAAAATAAAAATAATACTGAATATGCAATGTAATGATTAAGTCAAATTCAATATTTTAAACTCTATTATTTATGTTGGAGAAAGAATGAAACTGAAGAGTATATCTTAACATCTAATAGAAATATCCAAGAAGTGAAATTACTGTAGTGCATTCAGCTGAAATAGCAAAAGCTAACAATTCATACTTTATTGAGATACAGAAAGAAGAAATTTTTTCTCCTATATTTTTCGTTTCTACCACTATAGGAAATGATTCTATTTTTTAGTTTTCAAAAATTATCACTTATCAACAGTTATGGAGACGAAAACGTTGAAAAATGAAAAGCAAGCATCAACAGGAGATAATAACAGTTCAAATCACCAACCAGCAGTCGAGCCGAATACAAGACACATACAAAGTGAAAGAACTAGAGTCCAAAGTCAGATGAATATTTCTGATGATCATCAAGGAACAGCACACAAAAATCACAAGACTAAATCGAAAAAAAAACAAATGCAAATCGATATTGAAATTCAAAATCAACCAGCCTGCACATCTTATACATCAGAAGTAGAATTTGATGAAGAAACGTCTATTGATAATCAAGGAAGAACTGTAGAACAAGCCGAACGGGTTGATGTTGCGACTAATAGGTCCACTAAACCAAAACGTCGAGTTTCAAAGACAACCAGTATAACTGAAATTCTACCAAATCCTAGCGAACCGATTACATTTGAAAATGATCCATCCCCGATCATTGGATATGCTGCTGAGCCTATATTGCCACTTCCTCTAGCATGTGCTCCACTCTTGGATATTCTTTATAATTTGGCGTTTTATGTTCAGTTGGCACTAGATGAAACGCCCGAAAATCCACCAAATGGTTTAACAGTTCATGAAAGTGCTGCAATTCGTCTATATACTCTCGAATGGGAAGCACCACATAAAAGTCTCTATTCAATGCTCAATTACACTCTTAAAAGTAGCAATCGTGAAGAACTTCGACCTTATTTCAAATATATGAAATTATTCTTGACTGCACTAGTCAAAATTCCGTGTGAGCCAATTACAACTGTTTGGCGTGGAGTTAAAAAAGATTTGAGTGCAGAATTGCAACCTGGTACTTCACTGACATGGTGGTCATTTTCTTCATGTACAAAATCACTGACTGTACTCCAGAATAATATGTATTTAGGCACTGTAGGAGAGCGAACTCTTTTTTCTGTCGAAACCATCAATGGACGAATAATAAGCGATCATTCACATTTCACCACAGAAGATGAAGTTCTTCTTCTACCCGGCACTCATATGGTAGTTGTATCTCACTTGGTTCCATCACCTGACCTTTATATCATTCATTTGAAACAAGTTATACCAGAGGAAACCTTGTTGGAACCTCCATTTGAAGGTAACACCATAAAGATTTTCAGATTC